TTATTGAGATGCACCTGTATATATATATATATATATATATATAATATAACAACAATACTTTTTTATTTGGGAAAAAATAACAACTGGTATTCAATAACAAACGTGAAAAATATCATGTGAAAGATCATTGTTTCACCGCCGGAGCAGATGTAGACAAGAATGACTCCTAAGCGATTGAGGTGTTCTGTTGTTGGATGTAATAATGAACATAGCAGTCGTCATTTACTCCCGACATCTGAGCCGCTGAAGACGCAGTGAATCACGTTTGTTTTTGAAGGGAATACGCCCCCGATCTACATATATGCGTCTATGTTTGCGTGAATCATTCGTGATCCAGCTTCACATACTCATTTCTTCTGTAGAATGTTTTTAATGAATCTTTGCAAATCGCCTTTCCTAATAATGTGCTAATTAGCAAGTTTCACAATGAATGCAGCTAAAGTAAACAGTCCCTCAGAGAGTAGCTTGGAAGAGAGGGGCGGGGTCAGCAGAGCTCATTAACATTTAAAGGAAAATGCTACTAAACGGCTTGCTCTGAAAAGAGCTGTTTTTGAAAGGGTAAAACATTTGTTTTTTTACACTACCATTGAGAAATTTTAACCAAACTATGTTAGACTTTTCATTAAGACCCTAAAGAATCAAATCAACTTGTGGAAAATGGGCATCTGATGACCCCTTTAAGATATTAAGTCTTTTTTTGTGAAAATTTTATAATTATGGGAGTTTATGCTTAAAATAAATGTAAAAATCTGTCAGTGGGCTTGGAAAATTAAACTTAAATCAAAGGGAAAACAAGATTATTTTTCTGACCTCACTGGCAGATATTCTTTCTTATTTTAAGCATAAAATTGCTTAATTTTGATACTTTTTGTGAAAACAAGACTTAATATCTTACTTTCCTTCTAAAGTGTCTTGATTTAAGAATCTTTCAAATTTGTTTGTGGAAAATGAGACAAAAATACTAAGCCTCTCCCAAAACCCGAATACTATTTATTTGCTTTATTGCACACACTGATATTTCAGATACATTACCATTCAAAATTTCGGGGACAGTAAGATTTTTTAATGTTTTTGAAATAAGTCTCATTAGCTCACCAAGGCTGCATTTATTTGATCAGACATACAGTAAAATTGTAAAATATTACTACCATTTAAAATAACTGTTTTCTATGTGAATATAATGTAAAATGTAATTTATTTCTGTGATCAAAGCTGAATTTTCTGTTCCAGTCTTCAGTGTCACATGATCTTCAGAAATCATTCTAATATTCTGATTTGCTGCTCAAGAAACATTTCTGATTATTATCAATGTTGAAAACAGTTGTGCTGCTTCATATTTTTGTGGAAATGGAGATACATTTTTGTTTTCAGGATTCTTTGTGAGTGAGTGAGTGAAGTGACATGTGGCCAAGTATGGTGACCCATACTCAGAATTAGTGCTCTGCATTTATCCAATCCAAAGTGCGCACACACACAGCAGTGAACACACACACCGTGAACACACACCCGGAGCAGTGGGCAGCCATTTTTTGCTGCGGCGCCCGGGGAGCAGTTGGGGGTTCGGTGCCTTGCTCAAGGGCACCTCAGTCGTGGTATTGAAGGTGGGAGAGAGCGCTGTACATTCCCTCCCCCCCCCTACAATCCCTGCCGGTACGAGACTCGAACCCACAACAAAAAGGTTACGAGTCCGACTCTCTAACCATTAGGCCATGACTTCCCCACAATACTCACATACTCATGATGAACAAAGTTCAAAAGTACAGCATTTATTTAAAATATAAATATTTGTAATACACGTCTTTACTGTCACTTTTGATCAGTTTAATGTGTCCTATTGAAAATAAAACTTTTGAATCAAACTTTTGAGTCATTTTTAGGGATTTTTTTTTTGTCATTTCAAGGCTCCAGGCTGAAGAAACTGATCTACCCGACTGGTCTAATGGCTGTAGCTGCGTCCATGTATTATCCTCAAGAGGCCGTGACCGTCGCAAAGGTAGGTGTGTCTGATAAGTTTATTGGATGTAGGGTTGTGAGATGTTATCGGGCCTGGAAACGAGAGGAGGGAAAGGCGAGGCGAGGTTACGATCTGTAACTTTCCACCAGTTAAAAACAGCAGATGAAACACATTCCTAACAACACCCAAGGACACAAAGAGAAGCTGCATCAACACTTTGTCTAATATCAGCCGGTTTGTTTGTTTTGATTGTAACCAATATAGACTTTGCAGTGGCTATCTCTCGCCTCACACGCGTCCTGCTCAAACCCTGTCAACACACCGTTTCAGCGCTGCATGTCCCCATCCTGTCAGATATGCTGATGGAAATGTCCTGAAAGATCAGCAGGGTCACTGATTAAAGAGCAAAACAGCCCAAAATTAGGTTGATTTCACACTCTGTTTGAACCAAAGTTCCAAATTCAAGGTGTCAAGGTGCTAAATCATAGGCCAGTTTGCCCCTGCTGGTAGACACAGGTAACTACACTGTCTGGACCCCAAAATGCATTGGACTTTCTTCATTAGCTATTTTGACTAAATACAGCTTTTTGTAAATTGGGGATTTTCCATTATTATAATAGATAAAATATCAGTGTCCATATGTTGACATTAAGAGAAAAAAAACAATGGACCAGACTCAGGTCTGCACCAAAAGAGTACATTCTCATTCATATACAGTGTTTTTCAGTGATTGAAGTCATTAACTTTGAGCGACATTGTTAATTTGCAATGCTATATGGGCGTATTATATTATAGGCAGAGACAAATCAGTAACAGCAATATTAATTTCTGCATCTTTTCTACATTCAAATACAGTATCTTATACAGCAAAAAGTGACTTTCTTCCTCAATATTTGTTGTTTTCCAGTAGAAATATCTAAACATTCTTAAATCAAGACACATTTACTTAAGTGAAATAGCATATATGGTATCCATCCATCCCTCCAAACCACTTATGCTTTTTAGGGTTGTAAGAGGGCTGGCGCCTAATGAGCTATTAAGTCTTTTTTTCAGAAAAATTTATCAAAATGAAGCGAGTTTATGCTTAAAGGGGTCATATGATGCTTTTTTAAAGATCATTATTTTGTGTATTTGGTGTAACAGAATATGTTGACATGCTTTAATGTTCAAAAAACACATTCTTTTTCAAATACTGTACATTATTGTAGGTCCTCTATGCCCCGCCTCTCTCAAACGCTTCGTTTTCTACAAAGTCCCTCCTTCCGACAAGCGCAGTCTGCTCTGATTGGCCAGCTGACCCAGTGCATATATATATATATATATATATATATATATATATATATATATATATATATATATATATATATATATATATATATACACAAAAATAAGTAAAAATAAAAATGCATGAAAAACACTATTTAAATACATTTAAAAATATTTTTTCAGGCTTATATAACTGCATGAAAAATGGCATGTATTGTGAGTTTAGCTCATCCTGTTCATAAGATTATGAACAGGATGATTATGCACTGCTGAAACACATTAAGCATCAAATTAAAATATTTTTACTGGCAATGCATCACATTTAAGACCAGATTTCCAAACGCTGTAAGCAGTTGTGTAGCCCACCAATAACACGAGGGCATTCAGCAGTAGAAAAACACACTATGACAAATATATCTACTTCCAGCAATAAAATCTGTGTGTGTGTTTCCCGTCTCTCTGAAGTGACCCTTATAACCTTCCCACAACACAGAACACAGGAGACACCGTATACGACTGGGCGCTTCAGGCTTATGTTGCTGTGGAGAAACTCATCAAAGGCAAACCTGCCTCAAAGAAAGTGAGTTTGGTTCTTCTCGCACAGACTTTTACGTTCATGCATTTGCCAGACACTTTTATCCAAAGCAACTTACATTGCATTCAAGGTTTACATTCTTTGCATTTCCTTGGAATCAAACCCACAACCTCTACCGTTTGACCTACAGATAGCATTTGAACACTGCAAATATTGGGTTTGGAAACAGCCTGAGCGCTTTTTGTTTTGTGTTTTAATAGGATCAAGCAGAAAAGAGTTCCAGCGGGGAGACCAAAGCTTAGGTACAAAATATCAAAGATCATAAACAGCACGGAGACACAACACAGGTGCACACAATGTACAAACAACATTACTATAGTCACATCAAATCCTTTCCCAACTCTGTTTGCATTGCACTAAAGAGATATATATATATATATAAAAGTTTTTTTTTTCACTAAAACCTGTTAGATCGCAGTACAATTGCCAGATTATCTTTTTTGGTGAGTTGCACTTTTTTGAGTCATTTTTGCATTTTGTCAGAAATGTTTTGTGGATGAAGTCAGTTCTCCTCAAGTTCACACAGGTGTCCAGCAGATTAACCACATGTGTAGAGAATCACATTAACTAGCAACATCCTCCAATAACAAACACAATACATGTTTTAGTTGTTTTGTTGAAATCTTTATTTAAAATAAATGCTACTTAGTTTAATATTTTACCATTCAGACATTTTAATATCATGCATTAAGCACTGCTGAAAAGCAATGCAATTTAAGCAGAAATAAATGTGTCTGCTGTGAGAGTAAATGAAATGATTTACGGCAATGCATAACAAACACAATGCCTTTTTTGGCTCTTTTTTGTTTTTGCTTTAGTTGTTTTTGCTGTAAATCTTTATTTGCATTAGATCAAATAAAAACTATTTAAAATGATATTAAATATATTTCAAATATTATATAGAATTTAAAATATATTTGATTTAAAATGACATTCAGACATGTTTATTTTCTCAGAAGTCATCATGACTGTGGTTTGCTGTGCTGTTTGTTTACAGGTTCATCATCACCTCTCAGGTTGTTTCTCTGACAGTGAGGTTGTGGTACAGGATCTCCATCCTTCGCTCATCTTCATGACCTACTTTTGCACTAGCCACTTCCTCTTTCATCTGTCAGTCATCAAGACAGGAGTTAGTGGTCTGACGGTGAAGTTCTGAACTTGTAAACAAACTACTGAGATTGTATTAAAAATACATTGGTGAACAAAAATAAATGTTATATACTATGTGATGATGGTGGTGTGATTTATGACTGAAATAAAATAATTCTACAAAGTTAGGAGGAAATGATCACTTTATTTGGGGTTAGCATGTTAATGTCAGCGCTGTTTGTCAGTCTGAACTTCCTCTTCCTATGCAAGCACAAAAAAATCTGCCAACTGCAGCAGTTGAACAACTAGTCTAGATTTAGACATCAGCTCATTTCCAAACAGCATCACACGATTCAAATATTTCCTGAAATGATGAAATCATTGTCTTGCTGGTGAGAAGAAAGTTTAATTTTGCATGCTGAATAGAAGGAAGCCTAAAGTCAACATGCAATCAAAATTCATATGCGTATTTGGAAGTGGGGAAACCCTGAGGTTAATGAACCAAAACATAAGAGGGTTTCTTTTATAGAGGACAACAAGAGTTAACATACCGATCCAACAGAACTTTCAGTCAGTCTCTTTCTCAAAGTAGAAGCTTTATTTATTGAACAATACATTGCATGTGTAATCAACAAAGCAGACAACAATAGTAGTGCTCATAATCCTCCTCTATTTGAGCGTTTCCTCCTGCACCGGCGTCTACTTGGATGTCATCTTGAGCAGGTTGCGCTTGTCAATCTCGTACAGACGCCATCCCTCCTCGTGCGAGAGATCGGATGCTCCGCGCCGCTTGTAGAACTCGATGGATGACGTGTTCCACTCGGCCACGATGAAGTGCATGCCGCTGCATCGAGCCTTCACTGCCGTCTACAGCCAATGACAGGGACAAAAGCAATCAAGTACGTGTCATTTTCTCAGCTTTTGAAAAATGTTATTAATATTTAAATCGGGGGTCTGCCAATTGTCACACCTTTTGCACGGTGGGGAAAGCTGTAATTTTCTGATTGGTCAGTTTGAATGTCTCATATTTGTTTTTTTAGTCACATGGTCAAGGAAGGGAGAAAAGAAGATTGTCTCTTTTCTTGGCTGGCGATTGCACTTTTTCGCTGGAGCTCTGCTCTCTCTCCCTCTCTCTCTGGTAACATTTTACATTCATTCTGGGTACATTTAACTTTATAGGTTTCATCATCCATCTATTTTGTAACCAATTCAAGTGTAACCATAACAAAATGGTGTTATTAAACCATTTCAATTATAAATGATGTGCTAACTAGTCTAGATTCAACGTTAACATTGAAGCACTACCTTCTGCAATACAATTGTCACACAATAGCAACGCTCTCGCACATTTTGCTATTCTAACTGCACTTATTTCTAGGGCTGTGTATCGGCAAGAATCTGGCGATACGATACGTATCACGATACAGGGGTTGTGATGCGATATATTACGATACTGTAAGCAAGACGATATACTGGGATATTTCTTATTTTAGGAATAGGAGAATAGGATATAATTTTAGGAAACGGTCATTTAGAACACACCACCATATGCAAACCTTAGCAAAAGTATATATATATATATATATATACAGTGGTGTGAAAAAGTGTTGGCCCCCTTCCTGATTTCTTATTTTTTTGCATGTGTGTCACACTTTAATGTTTCAGATCAAACAAATTTAAATATTAGTAAAAGATAACACAAGGGAACAACATGCAGTTTTTAAAATGAAGGTTTTTATTATTAAGGGAAAACAAAATCCAAAACTACATGGCCCTGTGTGAAGAAGTGTTTGCCCCCTAAACCTAATAACTGGTTGGGCCACCCTTAGCAGCAACAACTGCAATCAAGCATTTGTGATAACTTGCAATGAGTCTGTTACAGCGCTGTGGAGGAAGTTTGGTCCACTCATCTATGCAGAATTGTTGTAATTCAGCCACATTGGAGGGTTTTCGAGCATGATTTGGATCTCGGCATGATGTCTAGCTTTTGAGGATCTTTTGGTCTACTTCACTTTGTCAGGCAGGTCCTATTTAAGAGATTTCTTGATTGGGAACAGGTGTGGCAGTAATCAGGCCTGGGTGTGGCTAGAGAAATTGAACTCAGGTGTGATAAACCACAGTTTTAACAGGGGGGCAAACACTTCTTCACACAGGGCCATGCAGTTTTGGATTTTGTTTCCCTTAAGAATAAAAACCACATGTTGTGTTTACTTGTGTTATCTTTGACTAATATTTAAATTAGTTTGATGATCTGAAACATTAAAGTGTGACAAACATGCAAAAAAAAAAGAAATCAGGAAGGGGGCCAACACTTATTCACACCACTGTATATATTAAGCAGAACACAGTGGCATCTGCATTTGCATTAATCTGTCCCTGTAACATTCAATGCTATTGAACCACTTTTTGTGCATTACAAATAAAGGGGGAACAATTAAGTGCTTGCAGGAGTCAGAGTTGACTGATCATGGGTCAAGAGGAGGGATGACCTACAAGACCATGGTGGAGGATTTGCTACTCAACAGATCCGGAGCTCATTGACAAATATCTTATATCATAAGATGCGCTACTTTTACTCTGAGTGCGCGTGATCGCGAAATCAAAAGTGAACGTGAACAGTGCGAGCGCTCATTCAAAGAGATTTAAATACTCCTCATTGATAGCGGCTCCCTGATACGGGATAATTATATGTAATCAGTGGCGGCTTGTGGGTTTTTAAATAGAGGAGGCACACTAATTGTACTGTCTGGGATCCCTGCCGATTATTATTATTATTATTTGCTTAACCACTTTAAAATGGCTTTTTGGTTGCTTTTAGTCAGAAAACGTAAAGAAAACGACATACATACAGCAAGATAATATAATTTCACTTACCTGGCCTATCACTTGAAGCAAACCTCCATCCCTTCTTAAAAGTGTGTTCATTTTTTTTAGCAACGGAGGTAATTACATCAGCAGATTCGGCACATTCGCGATAGAAAAGCGGCGCTTTCACGTTACGGTATTACAACTGTGAAATTACAAACATAAAATATACATTCTGAGACATGAACTGAAATTAATTGTGAACTTTATTAACATTAAATCGTCCTCCTCCCATTTTCACCTCAAAATTATTATGGGGAAGCTATGCCTCCCCTGACGAGCCGCCACTGTATGTAATATTAGAATGTTTGTGGGACTAGAAAACCTTGCAGGAGCGGAACACACACGTGGTCACTGTTTAAGTTCACAGGTAAGAAGAGTGCTATCTAGCGGTCGGGATATAAACTATACATAAAAAAAATATATATATATATATTGATATTGCGTTTTTGAGAATCGATACAGTATCGCCAAACAAAATATCGCGATACTCGCGTGTATCGATATTTTCTTACACCCCTACTTATTTCCATCGTTGGTATAAGTGGCAGTGGGTGGTGATAGACTAGAAATGTACAGTTTTATACCATCGTGCTAATAACGTTTCTTTAGTCATTCGGCAATCCTACAGCCTGAACCACCGTAGGAAAACCATCCTTACAGTCTGATGTAGGCCTGATCACTTCTCTCCTTCTCTACTATAACAGACAGTCACATATAGCTGTCTAATGCATGTTTCCATGCAATAAAAAGATGAAAATGGCTGCGCTACACTAAACCGAAGGCACATCTCTCCTGCAGCATGACTGAGGCTGGAAAGGGAGTCGTTTTCCGCTCAGCCTGAAGTTCCCAGTGGTTTTCCAGGAGGAGTGAATAAGACAGATGGTGTTTAAGGAGGCTCCGCTGTGCAGGAGTCATGATCTGTGGAGCTTCATGAGATGGAGACACGTATGATCTGAGTGTTTGGTAGCAGACAGAAGACCGGACTGCTGAGATAAAGTCTGGTGTGCCTGTATAACGCTTGTGCACTGTACATCAGTTTTGCATGTGCATGATTTAATATTTCATGCTGACACTTTCAATATAAGCACAATTTCAAACAAGCTTTACAGAAAACCATAATGTTTAAGTTTATAATACCTTAATATCTTCATGCCTTGCGGTCACATTTGTGGTCACTATAATAGAGTTCATTTTGTGACAATATGGTGATGCCAGGAACGAGGAGGAAGAAGGAGACGAGGATCAGACCTGAGTGCAGCTTTTTAATGATAGAAAACAACACTAAAGGAAAACCGAAACACTTGGAACAACTCAGAAGAAAACACAGTGAAAGCAGGACTTCAGTACACAATGAGGGAAACCACTATAAAACTAGAACAGGAAA